CCTATTGATGTGTCTGTCTTCCTCTCACTGGCAACGGTACCAGGTGGACCCCGATCCGGGGGGTAGACTGATGAGGATGTGTTTGCTTTATTAGACCTTACCGGTATTATTAATACCGGAATTCATCTTGCTTTGTGCATTTATTCTACCTTCTTGAAGAAGTTGAAAATACGCCAAATGTAAATCAAGATGCTTCTGAGAAGCGAACAACAACAAGATAAATTACATTGTTGAGCCTTAATTAGTGTTCCATTCTCACTCGCTGCAGATGGTGCGGATTCGTCACCCAGCCACTCCCCTGCGGCCAGCAGCGACTCCCCTAGCAGCGCTTGCTCTCTGTAAGCTAGAAAGTCTGGAAGCAGGCTGTCGTAGTAGTCGCCGTGACCAAAAAATGGAACCAGCACGGCAGGTACATTAGCGGCAATACTTGTAGCTGGCCATGCTCATGCACTTCATGCAGACTCACCCTCCGCGGTCAAGTCTGAAGCAAATCTTACACCGAGCAATGCAAACCGCCTCAACAACGGTAATACTTGTTCAAGTTCATCTAGAAGAACAAGCACAATCAGAGGACCATTGCAATTCAGTCGTGCTGTCGGAATCAAAAATAGAAGAACAAGAATAGAAGAACAAGAATAGAATTGAAGAATAAAAGTTGTAGAATAGGAGTTCGAGTTGTCGAAGAAAAAAAATAAATGGAAGAATAGAATAGTAGAAGAAGAATATTCAAGAATATTTTCTGAGCAAAATAGCACATCAGTGTTGTAGTTGTTGTAGATGTAGTTTCTTTGTGTCGCAGCGAGACAGACTCTTGATGTACTTGTTCTTGAGAAATAGAAATAGTATCAAAAATATAAACGAGCAGACGCAGAATAAGCACATAGACCTTATATATAGTATCAACAAAATGAAAATGAATGAATGTAAATAAAAGATGAAGTGAAATAAAAAAGGACTGGGTGCCCGGCCGTACAAGTGTAATACGTATGGAACGCAACGTAGAGAGCAAGCAAAGTAACCAATACGGAGCTGAGTCGCCCATTCCTGGTTGTCCATATCCAATTTCCGAATATCGATCCAAATAAATCTTCACTCCTTGTTGAGTCGTCGCTGTCAGTTGAGAAGTCGTCGCTATCACTCGAGTCAGAGCTGACGGAGTTGAGGACCTCATCATTGTGGTGGTCGTTGGCTGCATTATTGCGATCAGCTGCATGCTGCAGCATTAGCGGTCTCTTGTTCTTTTTACTTCTCCTCCCCATCTTCTTCGGGGATAGGAAGGGATAGCAGAAGTCGGGGTGTAGGGGGTTATATTCCTGGGTAGGATTCGGGGTACGATTCCACCACTAGAAAAACAAGGGTAGTTGTACTAGTAGCGGTGGTAGCCACTAGAAGTTGTAGGGTCCTCGTAGTTGTGACAGTAGTAGTCGTAGTTGTAGTTGTAACAATTTGTTCAATTTTCGTTACCACAAAAAATACTCGACAGTTGCGTTTTCCTGCCACATCTCAGGACCACCAAGAAACACGTCGAAGCCTCCGCCTCTGCCTGAGCTTGTTGGGCGGGTAACAAGAAGCGTCGACTTTGTACTACACTACTTTTTTTAGGGGTTTCAAGTTGACTCATCTACCTCGCATATCTATAATTCTGTCCTTTATCCTTTTCCCCCGGTGAATCATTCCAGATTCCCCAAACTACTTATCCTTTTCCCGCGATATAGAAGTAGTGAGAATATCAGGCACGTGGACATAGTTATCTATATTTTCCACTTAATATCCTTCAAGAAGACATCAACTACATTATAGATTTCTTGCTCATAGTGAGTGTAGTGAGTCAAGTTGCAACCTCCCGTAATAGCATTTGTAGACTTGTAGTATTTGCTGCGTTCGCGAAATTTGAAGAAGTTGTAGTGCTTGTATTGTTAGCTGTGTTCGCGTGGTCCCATGCAGGTTCCGCAGCCTAGCTTCGACGCCCCGCCCCGCCGTGGAGTAAGGACCAGATGGCGTGAGAAAACTCAGGTTCCTAGGCAGTAAAAACCAGCAAAATGGACGTCGTGAACGAGCATGGTTGGAGAAAAAAAATCATCTAAGTGAAAAATCTTGATTTAGATTCCTCCCAGAAGATCCTTTTCTATTATTCTCTCACGGTGGGTCATGTCATGTTTCAATGGATCCATCAATGCAGGATATGATCGTAACTTTTCTTATTGTACTCAGATGAGTGTGATCGTGATAGTCTTGTTGTGTCATCAACATCAAGCTCTCTCTTGTAGTACACTCTCCTGAAATTCTCTCAAGGATTCTCATCCATAGCAGCCCTCACGCTCACAACTCCAACTAAGAATGTCATCGAGCAAAGTTGCTCCTCAACTCTACTACGCGGCATTTCAACTCCACCACGCCATGTCATGGTTATATGGGTCCTCCTCCTCCACCTCCTCCTCATCATCTCTTGTCCTGCTTATCCGAGTAATGGAGCACAACTACAGCTTACTAGCAGAAACACCAAAGCAAAGTTGTGGCGGAGCAATACCCTATCTCATATTTCTACATTCTGACGCGTTATACCTTGTTCCCATAAAGAGTCCGGATATGAAGACATGTTCGTGTTTTGTAAGAACAGTGTTTTTGCCCGACTATCATGAAATAATCGTGTGCTGCGCTTCGTTCAGGTGTAGTTGAGAGGAAGGAGAACAAGAAGGAGCACCTACGTGGGAAACATAAAAATGATCGTGAGCAAGAGATACACATCAGAGGAGGACGGAGTTTCCGCTGGTGTTCTCCTCTGGTGAAGATCTAAAGTTTTATAAGTTCTTCTAAAAGAGTTGTTCAATAGCAGGCTCGCAAATATTATACGAGAAGGCTCTAAAAGAGTTCAATACCAGAATATAATCAACGCTTATGGATCAAGAACACTAAAATGCCTTGTGCTGTTAAGTAGTGGACCTGGATCCAAATCCAATTCCAAAAACTATTTTTAAATAATTACTCCAAAGCGCACCAAGAATGTTGTATTGTTTTTCATGGACGACTTGGAAGAGTGAAAAACTGTCAGTCACTACGACAGGTGGCGGTGGAAGTAGGACTAGGGCTACGTATCAGTACAGATTGTCATGTTCGAGCAGACGTAGACACACTATCCAGCGAGGCGTAGAGGTAGACCCACTATTGTGATGTATCCAGCGAGGGGTATCGCAGTTGTATGTTGCAGGAACAAGTCCGCTCGCTAGTCCCCAGTATGCTGAAAGAACAAGTCTGCTCGCTGAAACAACTCTTCCTCTTCATCAGCGTTCGCGCCAACTCGTTCATGATGCTCTCGACGGCCTTGGCGTCGGTGACGAAGGGAGCGAGGGTGGTGGTCCAGGAGGCCAAATCGTAGCAGTTGGCCTTGTTCATGGCGTAGGTGACCTTCTGCAGGTAGGTGGACACCTCCTCAGACATAGCCGGCAGGGTGCAGACCTTTCCCGCGATCTCCTTCATCAAGTCCAACTCCGGCTTCGGGCCAACGGACTCCTCCTCATCAGCGTTCGTCGTGAAGCAGAAGCATTTCTTTCATCTTGCACCATTAGAAGTGACACAGAAATCCAGCTTGGTGAGCATTCTGGTGCCTCTTACTTTCTTGTTCCTCTCACGAACAAGAAGGCCAAGATGCGGGGGAAGATGGATTTACCTGCGTCCGAAGAGAGGACTCGGGAATGAAGAAGGAAAAATGGGACCAAGATCGATGCCGGGGAAGTTGGATTTCCTCAAGCCTTAAAAATACAACCGCAATTGGTCATTCTGGCGAGCGTGAGGAGGAGTCGTCTCCTTCAACTGCTCTCTGATTTCGTTCTCCACGACCACCTTCAACTCTAAAGATTCCTAGGATTCCTCTCTCAATGAAGGGATCACGATTCCTCCTAGGACCATGACTTTGACTCCAAGGATGACTCCCCTGTCGATGAAGACCACTAGCTTGATTCCTCCTCCTAGGATCATGACTCCAAGGATGACCACTCCTCCTAGGCGACCTTAAATTAGTCTGTGCCACGTAGTGTTGTGCCGTGAACTCCTTTGCAGGCACGTAAGTAAGCGTTTTCCGCGTCCACCTGGTTCCACCACTTGACCATGTCCCTGACAAGAAAGTTTTATAAGGATAGGAATGTTTGAAGATGTTAGTAGCAGTGGTAGTTTGCCCACATTTCGTTGGGTAAGTCCAACACAAAGGCGGAAGGGGGGTTTGTCTTGTCCAAGGGGTGAAGATATGAAAGAATGTGACTCGTATTCCCTGACCCTGAGTTGTACTTTCTCGTTTGAAAGCAGACCTAGTTGCACTTTCTCTTGAAAGATGAAGGTGCTTCCTAGTATTGGAAGAACACAACCAACCGACAAATGATGGAGTAGGTCTGAGTGTTCAAACGACGAACTGCTCTGCTTCTACCATTCTGGTGCCTGAGCCTGAACAAGAAGGTGGGGCGGAAATGGTGCATTATAGGTCTAAACTAGAAGACGTAGCTCTCACTCTCACTCTCTGGCCTTGAATACACAAAAAAAAGGACAGGATACATAGCAAAAATGTCTAGATGAGGACAAGACGATGCTCATGCAGAAGTCAAGTACGTTGTAGGCGTGCTACACTATCTACTTTTTGGCGTAAGGACGAGGACCATCGAGCGGACGAGGACCATCGAGCGGAGAGAAAATACGCTTAAACATACTACAATAGCACTCCAGAAGGCACCATACAACGCAGGTAGATTCAGAAGATTAACAAGAAAGATCTTGTTCTATCTTCAAAAGACAAGCAAAACTGTAGAACGCCAGTTGTATGTTGTTCTTGTACTCCTAACAAAGAAAAGTAAAAGCAACAAGATAGAACCGTTTGTTCATATACATAGAGATGAACACCAGAAACGACAGCCTTCTTTTAGAAGTACTGTACTACAGTTCTACTCCTAACTAAAAAAGTAAAAGACGTACCATATCCCATTCACTACGTTTTTCACGCTTGTGTTGTTTCTGGCCATGTGGAGACCGCCTCGCACCCAGTCAGGAAAAGGTCGTGGAACACGCACTTCGCTGCACAACGTGACCGCGAAATCGACACAATTGATTCCTATCCGTGATGTGGTGCCGCACACGACTAGGCCACTTATTCGAAAAACTGAAATAAGCAAGTAACTCATCAGAATAACCGAGATACTGACGAGGAGGAAGAGTAGCCTTGACGGTAAGCTACCTCCCTTATTTCAGTCAGTAACTCGGTTATTTTGAGTTTTCGAATATCCATGAGCACGACCAGTAACCGACGCGAAACCTCAATCGCCCCAAGAGGTGTTCGACCTGAAAGAGAAAGTTCTTCATGTAGAGGAAGTAGAGAGGAAGAAGTTTTTATGTAGTGGAGTAACAGCATAATGCTCTACTTGAGCAGGTAACGATATAGCTTCTCTACGGACACCTGAACCTGAACCTAATTCATCTCTTAAGAGAAGCAGCCGCCTCTTCTTGAGAGAAAGTACTTCACTGGATGTATGTTAAGGAAAATGGGAATGGTGCTCAACATGTAGATCAGGTGATGCACATGATCAGGTAGAGGAAGCCGAGAAGACTGAAGTAATAGCAGACCTTCGGGGAAGATAGAAAAGAGAAAACGCTAGCTTTCATCAAGTAAAGATTAGAAAAAAAAAAAAGTAAAGCCCTATCCGCCGTGGCGCGGGCTGTGGCGGGGCCCAAGATGCTGCTTCTGGAGTCAAAATGGGACATTTCCGGAAGTCATAATTATTACTCTTCTTCGCGTTGGAAGGATTTGAAGTAGTAGTAGAGTTCGCATTGGCACTGGAAGATGATGAAGATCCCGGTTGATTAGTACCTTCCGCAGAAGTAGCAACAGCACCAGAAGAAGATGTTTTTCTTTTTCCAGAGGAAGATAGAAAAGAGAAAAGGCTAGCCGCCGTGGCGGGGGCTGTGGCGGGGCCCAAGCATTATGCTTAATATGGAGATTGCGTAAGCGCTTCATCGACGTCTTATACCAGAGCAATTTATAAGGTTTCACAGCTCGCATGGCATGGAGTGCATGGATCACATGGAGTAGCACGGAGCTAAAGGGGGAGCTTCTTGCGCCCCTTAAAGCTCTGCGCTCCATGCACTCCATGCACCATGCGTGCTATAAACTACTCTGTATATACACATAAGATATTTTTGTGTAATTGAGGTGGTTCGAAAGTGAACGAAGTACTAGGTAAACTTCTTTAACATAAGAATTACCTATCAACGGGAGATGTCGGAACCTAAATACCTGTTTATGAAGAACCTATTGGGATAGTCAACATACACTCTACTTTTAGACTAGTACTAGTGATGAACTTATGATCATGCTCATTAACAGGAAGAATTATCAACGAACGGGAGGGGTCGGAAACTAAATGCCCAATCAACAAGTTCAGACGACGACCAAGCAAGCAATCAGGTTGCCTCCGCAGGGCACCGACCTTCCCGCAGCTGCGACTGTCGCACCTCTACGCTCGGCGGGAGCGATATAATGAAGAAAAAAATGTATAAGTACCCGTATAATTAAATGCTTGTGGTAGTGGTGCGAAACGAAAAGTAGTACCCATATAAATGCTTGTGCGAAAGGAGAAGTCTGGATGTTCCCTTGGCTGCACACGATTACAGCCTGTCACTGTTGGGTCCTCCACGACATCGTTGTAGAATAGGAAACTCCACTCATCGCCGTACACCTCGACACCAACTTGATAAGCACCCATTCTTAGAGGTAAACACCCATTTTTAGAGGTTCGTTCCATGAAGTTTTTCCCACCGAGGTGAACGCATTTCTGTAGTAAAAATGCAACATCATAGCCAGCACCTAGGTATGTCATTATAGAAGATGTAGGCACACAAGAAGATCAACATAGAAGGCCCACCTAGGTATCAAGATTATTCTTAGTAGTAGTAGTAGTAGTAGTAGTAGTAGTAGTAGTAGTAGTAGTAGTAGTAGTAGTAGTGTGTCCATTCGTGGGGTATTGAAGAAATTATTAATTAGTTCTTGCTCTTGCTTGTAGTTCTTTTTCTCCCTTTTTCTACTCCTCTTTTCTTTATCATTATTATCTATTTTGGTTTTGAGAGTTGTCCTAGATGTCCCGGCTTGATGTTCTCGGGCCCGTTGTTCACCATTTCAGCATTGAATGCCTGAGAGAGGAAACAATTATCATTTTTATGCTCGCGCGCGACCCTGATGTCCCTGAAGATTATCAAGATAGATTGATCGAATAATGTTCGCGCGCGACCCTGATGTCCCTGAAGATTATCAAGATAGATTGATCGAATAATGTTCGCGCGCGACCCT